TGTCAAAAATTGCTCAACTGTGACTGTCAAATGACCAGTAAAATAATTGTCACTGTTCTTGTAGGGTAGCTATATAAATGCGCGTTTGTTAGGGAGGCAAGGTATGTAGTTCGTTCCTTAGTATGTTTTTCGTTGTGCTCTTGAAAAGGGTGCAGCAACGTTTATGCCGCAAAACGTCCATCGTCATTCAGCAAAGCAACAAGTGGAGCCACAAGTGGGCACATGCGATTACTAAATATGTATACATGTATGTATCTATGTATGCACGGACGAGCGTTTTTATGTCTGAAAATATGCGCATGTGTAAGCACGCACCAAAAAGAGCATATATAAGCGAGTATAAAATTATGCTGTAAAAGGGCGTTAAAATACACTGAAACTGAAAGTGCGGAATACCTCGTTGCCAAGGACGAGGAAAATGTGTTTATACACTTACAGGCACACACACGCACATTTCTAAATGACATTAATGGGCATGCCTGCAGCGCAAATTGAAACTAGCGAGTTATTATAATAGCATTTGAACAGAGAGAGACGAGAGAGAGAGAGGAGTTAGATCAATTTTCCCACAACTAAATCACTTTTGTCGTTATTCTATTAAAGTCAATTGAATTCAGCAAACTTTTAAATATTTTAAATAAAATACGCTTTTTGCTTGTAACAACGGGTGACCCAAGAATGTATACTTTTTTCAAAAGCCTTTTTTCGACAGACCGCGCGTTAGTCGTGTTAAGCTGTTATGTTATTTTTGTTCTGTACAGTTTGGCATTTCATCATGGAAAGACTTACGCCTGAACAACGTTTACAAAACATTCAACTTTATTAGGAAAATTCAGTCTGTAAATAATGTGTTTCGCACGCTTCACTCAACTTATGGATCATTATTGGATAATATTCGACCAAATAGACAACGTTCAGCACGCAGTGAAGAAAATATAGCTGCCGTAGTGAGAGTGTACAAGAAGGCCGTGGAGAGTCGATTCAGCGCCGTTCGCAGCAACTCGGACTGACGTATGGAACGAGTTGGCGCAGTTTTCGTCGAGATCTTAAAGCAACCTGAATCATTTCATAAAAAAAAAAAAACGATTTGTTGTGGTTTGTATATTTCTTTAAAAATGATGGCGGTGAGAACGTTACCGTCAATGGCGACCATTATCGCGCCAAGATGACCGACTATTCAAAATGCCAAAGAATGTTCTTTCTAATGATAATAAACATTCCCCAATAAATTTGATTTTTATACTCTCGCAACCTGTTGCTACAGAGTATAATAGTTTTGTTCACCTAACGGTTGTTTGTATCACCTAAAACTAATCGAGTTAGATATAGGGTTATGTATATATAAATGATCAGCATGAATAGACGAGTTGAAATCCGGGTGACTGTCTGTCCGTCCGTCCGTCCGTCCGTCCGTGCAAGCTCTAACTTGAGTAAAAATTGAGATATCTTTATGAAACTTGGTAGACATGTTTCTTGGTACCATGAGACGGTTGGTATTGCAGATGGGCGTAATCGGACCACTGCCACGCCCACAAAACGCCATTAATCAAAAACAAATAAATTACCATAACTAAGCTCCGCAATAAGATACAAGACTGTTATTTGGTACACAGGATCACATTAGGGAGGGGCATCTGCAAATAAAACTTTTTTTTTAAAAAGTGGGCGTGGTCCCGCCTCTAATAGGTTTAATGTGCATATCTCCTAAACCGCTGGCGCTATAATAAGAAAATTCTCTAGAAGCAAATGTTTTTAGCACTTCTATTGACGGTGTGAAAATAGTTGAAATCGGGTGGCAACTCCGCCCACTCCCCATATAACGGTACTGTATAAATTGGCTTTATAGGAACCGCGTTCAAAATTAGTCAGTGGGCGTGGCACAGCCCACTTTTAGGTGAAAAAGGAAGAGCTAAGTTCGGATATAACCGAACATTTTATACTCTCGCAAAGTCAAATGGTATACTCGGTTTAGATTTCTTTGTGGATCTTGCCGCCTTGTTCTACGTTGACCGATTTTTCGGTAAAGAGTCAACTATAGGCACTGGGGTCTACATATTTAGTACATAGGGGCTTGAACAGTTTTGGTTCAATTTAGATAATTTTTGGTCACAAGGTGGCATACTTTACACGTATTATTCACGCAAACTTTTACCCCGATATAATCATTGTTGCTCGATTTGAATACTGGAACGTGAAAACATCACATGAAATTTAAAATGCTGTTATATAGGAAATAAGCTTGGTTGTATATTATAATATAGAAATATGAGAAGAATTATTATTATTATTATTAGAATTATCTACCTAAATTCGGTAAGCAGATCTCAAGATATGGGTTTTCACCTAAAAGTGGGCGGTGCCACGCTCACTATCTAATTTTAAACGTGGTTCCTATAAAATCATCTTATACCATATACATATGTTTAGTGCTTGATATATCGCGCTTTTAGTAGTTTTTAACATTACCGTTATATGGGGAAAGGGCAAGGTTTACACCCGATTTCACCCATTTCACAACGTCGATAGAGATGCTAAAAACATTTGTTCCCAGTGAATTTTGTTATTATAGCTTTAGTGGTATAGGAGCATTATATATATGCACATTAAACTTATTAGGTTGCGGGACCACCAAAAATAACTGCAGATGCCCCTTCCTAATGTGATCCTGCATACGAAATAAGTGTCTTGTATCTTGTTGTGGAGCTTAGTTATGGCAATTTATTTGTTTTTGATTAATGTCGTTTTGTGGGCGTATCAGTAGTCCGATTACGTCCATCTGCAATACCAACCATCTTACGGTACCAAGAAACATGTCTACCAAGTTTTATAAAGATATCTCAATTTTCACTCAAGTTAGAGCTTGCACGGACAGACGGACGGACGGACAGACAGTCACCCGGATTTCAACTCGTCTCGATTAGTTTTAGGTGATACAAACAACCGTTAGGTGAACAAAACTATTATACTCTGTAGCAACAGGTTGCGAGAGTATAAAAATTGAGAAAAAAAGGATGAGAAAAAAAATCAATAAAAGGGCGAAATTTAAGGATCGTCATTATTATTAAAATTCAGTAAAATTTTTACGAATTTATTTTCTACTGGGTATGCTTACATTAAGTATGAACACTGTTGATACATTTATTTGTGCAACACTGGTCTGTCTAACTTTTGTTTCGCATAATAAGTATTTGACGCGAAGCCAAGCAAAATGTTAGGAACTTTCATTTTTTACGCTTTGTCAAGCAACCGTCGCCATTTGTATTAGAGAGGAACCACTGAAAGCAAAGCGTTCATTGTGGCATATTCTTTGTTTTCTGCGCTTCGTTGTTTCAGTATGAACTGTCACGTAAAGCGAGGAAAATTGTATGTGAATGTGCCTTTAATGTTCCTGTTTGCTTTGGTGTGGATGTGTTCGCTTTTAGCCCGACATGTGTTTACATTAGGTGAGGTATATTGGCACATATTGGTATGTGTATGTATTTGCGTATGCACACTAAAGTATGTACTAGTAATTATATAAGGAGACAATAATTATCGCAGACATGTGTATAAATTTATTTACATAATTGATTGAAGCAAGAAGTGTTATAAACTAAAAAAAATAAATTTACTATAATATAAATTAATCATCGACTTTGTAGTTTTTTACTACTTGTATACATAAATACCGATTTTTCTATGTTTATATTTTTGTTTACAATAAATTTTTAAAATATGCATTGAGTAGAAATTTTATTATATTTATATATGTATGTTTGTGTTACTTTTAAAACAAATATTCTACACATGTATGTATGTATGTAGATAAACATATGCACGCTCATAAAATTAGCTTGAAGGGAATATTTGGATTGCGTCTTTCAATATTTCGCGTGCTCTCTGATTGCCTCGAAGGTGTTAGAGATGTGAGGTGGCAGTCGGCAATTGGCTTTCAACGCTTAGCATAATATTAATAATTTAATTCTAATATGCGCTTAAGGAAATTTTTGTTTTTAATTTTCTACCTTATTAAAAACAGTAAATGCTTAATACAAGTGGTTATGTGGAATATTTACAGTGTCCTGCTGTTTAGCCGAATGAATTTCTTTACGTGAATTGCACTCGGAAATACGTTCTCTAACAACTTTGCATTAGTATTTAAATAAGAGTGTCAGCTTGTAAAGAAATCAATTTTTTTGCTGCAAATACTTGACGGATTTTTTGAGAATCTTTAGAAATCAGTTTTTGTATAATCTTTAGATGTTTCGACCGCATTTTAAATTCATAACTATATTAGAGTTATCAAGCTATATATTATATAATATTTAATATCAGACTTTTCCTAACAATTTTAGTGGCCAAAGCGAAAATTAAATATTTTGAACGCGCTTTTTACTTTCTTAAGGTCTTCCTTTGTACTCTTTACTGAGGCACTAACTAAACTTAAAAAAAAAAAACTACCGTTTAGATGATTTAACATACTGTACATCTATTACATAAATCCAACCACGATATACTTTCTGCATGTTGTGTTATCAATTTTTCCACACTCAAAAATAATATATTATAATAAAATTTATGAAATAAATAAATAGTGGGTCATAAACTTCGCACTTGTCTAGTTACAGAACGCGCTGTTTCGTGCAAGTGACGGTCAATATTGAACAGACCGCAGAGAAGAATCGCAAATCAGCAATTATCATAAAATTCGGGGAATTTTACTTCGATAAACACTAAATTCTTGGAAAGATATTAAAACATTCCTGCATTTTTGAATGCTATGAAAAACTATATAAATTAAGAGAAAATCTCGAAAAATGCCAGCAGCAAAGCTATCGAGTGAATAGTCTCAACAGCTGGTACTTTGGCTTTGAATTTTTAAACATTTATGGGGCGTCTTGTTTCCTTTAGAATTGCTAACGGTTTTCGCGGCTGGTTCAGTGCAGTGACACTTGCACGCACACATACATGCTTATGACGCTGAGTAAGAATGCTTGCGGGGCAATAACAATAGGACCCACCTGCGATTTTGCGTTCGCGCATTTTGCGCCATAATGCCTCCGCCTTGCGTTTGGGCCAGTTTTCGAATTTCTGTGAAAAACTACGAAAAAATTTGTACTCGCGTATCGTTATCGACATGCGACGCTGCATTTTGATGGGTTGCGCTTTGGCCGCCGTTGGTGGTGGCGTCGGCGGCGGTGACGGCGGCGGTTGTGAGCCGTTAATGGTGCAGCCGAATGATAAAGCGAGATCGCGAAGGAGCTTTTATTTGGGTTTTAGCTGCTTAGATTATATAGCGTTTTCTTTTCACTAGTTAGCGAATGGTCAGAAGTCTTAAAATTGTTGGGTGATTGAGTTTTTATCAGCCAGTCAACACTCACACATGTACACAAGAGCGTTCACTCGCACCGCCGAGCAGACAGTTTTTAAAATTTCGCACGATTTTGGCGCGCTATAAACCCACTGCGTTTGCTTTGCGCTACTAAAGCTCTGGTGAATTGACTGCCTCCTGGCCAGTGCCAGTGAACATAGAGCAAACAATCAGACATTTTTTTAACTTCTGTAATTTATTATTTTTTTTTTATCGATAATTTCACCGTTTAATTGGCACATTAAGTGTTTTCACATTTAATTTGTTTGCTGCTGGCCACAAATTGTCGTTAAATATTGAATGTTACTAAAACATTGCTTCACAAACAATGTGTACTTGTTGCCGCCGCTTCGACGCGTCTATAATCAACGGAGCCTGTAAAAGCACTAATGAATATGCGAGCAACTTGGCGAAATGGTGTGCAAATGTGGCGCAACAGTGTGCTGATATGCCACTACCAATGCCACACACTCAAGCGAAGGGAGGCGTTAGAGGGTATCACAGACACATACGTTTGGGGCTGGTGCGGCGGCGCTTTGACTTTGAAATCAGTAGTTACTAGTCGTGTGCTGACATAGTTTACCGTATGACTAACGCAACGTTAGACTGGGTGTCTAGCTGGCGGACTGGGCACTTAGCGATTGGCTTCTGCCATATGCCACAAGTTGTGCACCATGTATCATCATCAACGATTATCTGGCTGCGCTGTGTTCTTGTTGCTGGCAGTATAGGTGAATGTAAACAATGACGAGTAGAGCGAGGCTGAGCAGCCGAACGCCGACACTGCTTGGCCGAGCAGCCGAGCGAACTCATCATTGTCATTGAAATTACCATCGATACACGATTGCTAGTTCGCGCGCACATTCGTTACGTTATGGGCACAGAAATGAAATATGCAGCTAAAACAAAAGAAACGGCAAGCATAAAGCCACCAAAAAAAAAAAGGCAATACCAACAAAAACCAAGTGGTAATGAAACTTCTGTTGCGAACAAAGCGCTTAAACGATGTGCGAACAAAATACCGTTAGTTCGTGCAACGATGTGGCAGTACGAATACACATAATGCCGCTGTTGCTACAGGTGGCTGGGCGTATGTGCGCGTGCTAATGATGGCAAGGATGATTGTTGATTAGCGTTCACATTTATGACGTCACTGTGATGTTGTTGTTGTCAGTGATATTCAAACAAATGTTTCGAGCTTGTGTGTTTGCAGTTAGCATTATCTCTTGAGCATATTCAGACGTATACATACGAGTATGTAGGTGCAACCTGCATTGTTCAGATTTTAATTAACAACTTTTGATTTCTTATTTATTTTCACTCTAAACTGCACTTATTGATTCAGTTGTAGACTTTTAATTTCCCCGTTTCAAGAACGCCCTTGCAATTTTGGTGCTAATCATAATCGTAATCATTTCTAGTACGTCATAAGCAGCTTATACTTTTACCAATGGATGTGAGTAAAATGTGAAAAATGACCTAGTACAAGTTTGTATCAATTAAGGTCACACGGCGTATACGCGATTATTGATTCGATTAGTTTCCGAACTTGGTGGAAGCGCAGAGCAATAATAAAAGACTTATAGCGTATGGCGGGTAGATAAATAAAATAATGTGAATGATATATAAAATATTAAAGAGGGTGTACTATTATATAATATAATATATAATACACTTTTATTTGTGCATTTTATGCAACATTGTTCCGAGTTCCAATAACTTCAGCACTATATTTGTTACAAGTTGTTACAAGTTACATATGTACATGCCTGTGATGTAGAAAAAAATGGTCTCGTTGCAATAAAACATAACATTAATTTCTTAGCTATTTAAAAGTTTATAAATAAAATAAAAAATAAAAAAACGTTTACTTCCCCTGATAGCCTTCACAAGTGCATTTTTAAAGCATAAAAGTGTTTAAAACAATATTTATCTTGATTTTGATCAGCCAGTTTTAATAGCAGCTACATATATGCTATAGTGGTCCGATTTGATATTATATATATTCGGAGATTTTAGCGGTTCCTTTGACAAAAATCCATTCAAATTTCGTAATGATAGTATGTTAAATAAATAAGTTTCCCCTGCAACTACTTGAGTTTGATCAATATCTCCGGAGATTTTAGCGATGTCTCGAATAATAATCTGGCCCAAATTTTGTTAGGAAAATTTTTCGTACAAGGATCTGAGTTTGATCTGTCATTTTGTGTGGCAGCTGTAAGTTATAGCTGTCTGATATCGGCACTTCCGACAAATGATTTCAGAACGATATTGCAAAAAGAGAGAGTATAAACAAACAAACAGACAAACGGACATGTCTAAATTAACTCCACTCGTCACTCTGATCAGTTCTATATATACATATTTTTGGGGTCTCTGACGTAATAAACCCTGTTCGGGGTATAAAAAGTTTCACAAATAAAAAAATCTCTATACAGCTTCTTGGGAAGAAAAGGACATGTAAAACATTTCAGGGCGATATCTCAAAAATTGGGCGACTAGTTTGCGTATATTAAGACAGACAGACATAGCTAAATCTACACTGTTCATTATTTCTATATATATTTTATGCAGGTTCGGGGTATGAAAATTACTGCACACAGTATGTATGTGCATTATTTGCGCCCTAAATTTGATCAAACTCAAATTTAATTCTGGTAAATACTTAATGAATTTATTTAGTCATTTCAAAACAACACACATTTTTGCGTGCTGGCTAACGTGTGTGAGCGTATTTCATTTCCTAGAGTAGTTTCGGAGTGTTAGTTAGTCTGGCTGGGCAGTTTGACCCAGTTATTCCATGAAACATACTACGCACTAAAAATACTAAAACATAGATTAAGGAAAAATGGCCACATTTTGTTCAGTCGTGAACTATGTGACGAATATATGTTTGTATATTAAACAATTTCTTAATTTAGATTTTATAAGTTACAACACACCTTTTGGTTGAAAATAGGTATTTAACTGAAATATTGTTCGGTTGAGCTCGCATAAAGTTTCTTCACAAAAGACAATGTTATAATGTATAATATAATATTGATGCGACGAAATTAACATCTCTGTAGTTGCCCTGTAGATGCCTTTATCCATTAATAATCTCCATTCATTTTAAGGAGTCATACTTGTTTATGTTAGGAACTTGAGTAAATATTCAAAACTGTTGCTAAACGTACAGGGCAGCCGTTATACAGTTTTGAGCGAAGACATTGCAATGTAGGTGTATGTAGAAGAGAACGTACAATACGATTCGATAAAGCGACAGCGGTGGTTTGACCAGACGCTAAGGCGTGTGAGAAGAAGGAAAATATTGTAGAGATTGCTGCATTGTTGGAGGACAGCAACGACATCTAGTGTTGATGAATACTGGATTGTTGATGGAAGTGATAGCGTTTGTGTACAGGGGAAGACAGTAGAGCTTTATTAACCTAAGAGGTGAGCAAGGGGTAAAAAGCTCTTATATAAAGCTCGCGTGGAGTGCCATACTGAATCATAATCTACATAAAAAAAAATTATTATGAACAACTGCTTATATGTTATTAAATGTCTAAGCATTAAATACTATAATTTTGTATAGCTTCTGAAAATGTTTGTATTTACGTATGCGATATACAGGAAGTTCGTAAGGTGGTCCCACTTAATTCCAGAGTATCCTGCTTATAACAATAATTGCTTAACAGTGTTGTTGTCCGGCAATGTGGTTACCCCTCCATAAAAACTTAACAACATATTTTTTTCTACATAAAAAGGATTTTCCTATAAGAGTGATATGATTTTTATCAATAAAAAACACAATAATTGTCAAAGAAATTCAAATGTTTTTAATTATTTCTTGAAATTTCAAGAAATAGTCTAATGGTGTTAAATCACAACTTCTTGCAGTTCATTCAATGTCACAATTTCTTAAAATTATTGATTTTCCAAACTTTTATCCTAATAATTCGGTTGTTGCAAGTAGCCCCGTCTTGTTGAAACCAGATTTTGTCAATATAAACTTCTTCCAATTGCGTCCATAAAAAGTTGGTTATCACCGATCTATACCGCTTTCTATTTTAACGGTGTCACTATTTCGAAAGAAGTAAGGTGTGATTCAACCAGACCAAAAGCCACAGCAAACTGTCAATTTAGGTGAATATAATAGTTGTTCATGAATAATTTGCGGATTTTCTTTGCACCAGAATCGACAGTTTTGTTTATTTACGACTCGATTATTACGATCATAAAATGGAAACCGCGCACGAAAAGTTGCGTTTGGAGAACGATTATTTTGATAATAAATTTGGATAATTTCTAAACGTTGTTTTTGCCTATATATTTAAATATTGAAATTGTAAACATTATTAAATACAATCCAAAGAAATTACAGATCATGACATATTAAAAATGTCTGAAACTTCAAATGTCCGAATGTCCACTTAGAAATCATATCATCCCTATTGGAAAACCCGATATTAGACTCACCTGCTAAGTAGCGATCACTTTGCGATCGTGAGTAGCGCAGCGTCTAAAAACAGAGGAAACATTTGTGAAGATAGTAAACTGAGTGTTTGAAAAATCTTTAATTAAGTTAATTTTTGTTTATTTCGAACTCACCAACTTTTGTCCGGAAAAGTCATCACGTCGAGTCTTCTCCTTCTTCAGCAGCAATGGCGCAGAGTTCGACTTGGTTGTCAATTCTTGTATGCCTAGACTCTCGTGCCCGCTGTGCAGCGAAGCGCTACTCGGTGAGGGCAATTCTGCAAATAGCGTCGGCGATAGCAAAGACTGGAACGGTTCCTGACGTAAAGTCAGCGACAACTGACCACGTTCTCTGCCACGTCCATGTAAATGTTGATGTATCTTACGCGTCAATGGATGATGCTGTTGCGGATGCTGATGCTGCAGTGGTGAGTACTGATAGTAGACCGCTGGTAGCGAAGAGGTATCTAATGAGTGGCTGCGACATTTCTGTGCTCGGCCGCCACCACCGCCTTTACCGCTATAAGGCATCATAATTGGTGTGATCCCAGCGCTGAGTTTGCGACGTAATACCACGCTATTGCCGCCAGCGGTTTCGTTAGCTGATGTGGATCCATTGCGACTGCCACCACCGCCACTGCCGCTAGCGCTGCTCGCATCGCCATCGTTACATTCGCAGTCGCAATATGGACTAATTTCAAAATCATCGTGGGCCTCATCATATTCATACGTTACATCGGATACCTCCATACGGCCTTCATCTATGGTTTGGACTGTTTCTAGGTTATCATTACTTTCTATGTTATCGTTGTAATCTTGTCGCGTGCGTTGATGTTGATGATGACGTTGGTGTGTGCCGTGCAGCTTTTGATGTTGTAGCTGCTGCAAATGTTGAACCTTGTGTTTTAACTTATCCGCTGCTGTGGTAGCTGTCGGTAGTTTATGCTGCTGACGCTGCTGATCATCAATGTCATCGTGTGACTCATTGCCGCCATTTATGGTAATATCTTCATCACCACCATGAGGTTCATCGCATAGGCTGAGTACTTCTAGAAGGTCTGGATCATCGGAGGAGACTACGGAACCACTTTTCTGGAATTTCATTTTCCGTAGCGCATCCAAGCTACTAATCGATTCATTATCGTTGTGTTGGGACTTCCAGTAGCACACTTCTTTTGGTGGCGTTGCCGTGCCAATACCACTTTCATTATTGTCATTATCTAGGCTAGAAGAGTCGAGCGAGATGCCCGATTTACCGGAGCTGAGCACGCCGGAGGCCTCTTCGCATGCTGAGGATGAAGTGGAGCTGGAAGAATAGAAAGCAAAGGTTAAATTTGGTACAAAAGTATCTACTTGTTATATGTACAATTAATCTGATTTTGGTATGCGTTTGTTATTATAAAAATAATAGTACTGATAAATTTTTATTTCAAATTTAAGTGATCTATTAAGTTACTCCAATATCTATGTTAACCTTTCCAATTTCAGTAGGAACCAATCTGTACAATGTAGAAGTAACTAAAACCCATCCTTCGGCTACTAAGTCTTAATAATTTTCTTATTTGCTACTTACTTATTGTCTTCATCGACGGCGCCAACACTTCGCAATATTGACTCCTCAGATGTCCAGATCGTTGAGGTGGATCCTTTTTTGGTCACATCGCCACCGTTTAACAACAAAGAGGACGTGGTGCCACCGCCATTACTTTTTGATGCTGATGAGGTCAATAATGTAGACGGTAAGAGCACTGTGGTGCCTAGCTGTGCCGTAGGTATTGCTGATGTTGGTGTCGTCATTGTCGCATGATTAATGCGCTCCCGTTTTGGTATTGCCAGCATTGCCGCCAAGCTACCGCTACTGTTAAAGCCATTGTTGTTGCTGCCTTTATCACCATTGCACGGCTGCTGTGCTAGTGGATGGTGGAACATGCTCTGACTAGAGCTTTCTCTGTGCGTCCAATGAGTTTTAGTGTTGTTGTTGCCGAGTATTGTTTCCATATCGTTTTCCAATTGACGCTGTCGCCTACTTTTAAGTGATTCCTCATCGTTTTCTTGGGCGGCGGCGGCGACACAGCCGTTTAATGTTGTCATTGCTGGCCGACGGTGACCATTTGTCGTCGCCAATGCAGTCGCAACTGCTGGTGTTGTCTCTTCAATTTTTAATATCGTCGCGGTTATTGACGGGCTTGTTTCTGTTGGCGCACTTGTCGCCGTCGCATCGTTGCCGCATTGTAAATTTGTCAAATTATGATAATGCTGATGGTGTTGTTCGGTTGTGGCATTAAATGCTGCAAAACTGTTGCGATTGCCGGTGCCGCCATTATGGATCGCTGGTTGTTGCTGGTGGTATTCTGTCGGTGCCGATAAAGTTCGCATATAGGCAACACTCGGCTTAGCCGGAGTGCAAATACTCCCAGCATTGCTGTTGCTATTGTTGTTGTCAGCGTTTATTCCATTATCGAGGCGTGCACAATCAAGGTTAAACGATTGCAATGGAATGGTGGTCTGCGAATGGAAAAAGAACATGCATACATAAGTATAATAAACAAACAAGAATACACAATAAAAAGAAAACTAGTAAATTGAAGCGACTTATGTGTGCTGACGTCCCTTCGCTAAGTCCCAGATAGCTTGAAGGCCGATCACTTGCAGTTAACGATTCAAAAATCTTCGCCAACGTCTATTTGAATAATGCCTTACGGCACAGTTAATGTGTATATGTGCGTGTTTTGCAACGTGTACTACACATCACTTGCTGAGTTGTTGGCGGTAGCGAAGTGCAGTTGTAAGTAACGTGGTGCAACTTTTAGAAAGTTGTAGAACGCGGTGCTGCTATCGAAAAATTATTGTTTTCGATACAGTTATGCTAATTGAAAGGCATTTCCATGAAATTTCAAAATCGCAGAGTCAGATCAACAGAGTGTTCTAAATTTGAGATTGTTTAAGTCATTAAGAACAAATATAAATCCGTGGCAATTTTGGTTTCGCCGATTGTTCGCTCCTGGAATTTCGATATCACACGCTCTGAAAAGGCAATGGTCGACAATATCGATAACAGAATGGAAATCTTTGAGTCCGAACATCATGTAAGCACGTAGGTGCCACATAAGTTAACTCAAAAAACGTCCGGGCAAAAATTCCATCTTCGAAACGACCCATTTCTGAAGAGCATGGTTAGAGCGGATTTTCGCTGGAACGCCCACCAACTCGGTTGATATTCTGCTCGCATTTCATTACCGCTCCCCCACTGTACACTGGGCAACAATTTTGCGACTCGCCCAGCTGAGCTCACTACCATTATTCGTTATTGCTGCAACACCATATTTGGGCAACATGCGCAATTGTTATTGTGTCGTGAAATCAAGCTTCAAGTGAGAACAAGCGAATACCTACGGAATTGGCAATGTGCAATTGATACCATTACTTTGTGGTGATGTCACGCTATCGTTATCTTATACACTCTAGTTTAAATGCCACTCACCCGGCAATTCTCGGAGGTGGAAAGTGCAAAACTAAGTTCTCAGCTGTTGCATATATGTATTTGTAAAATTTCACGTTCCAAGCGTTCAGCTTTCTTCAGTCACTTGCATTTCTGCGCTGATTGTCAATACATCATTGAAATTTGAATTGAATGTAAATATAATTGACGTAATAAACTTACAGTGGTTTAGCGGCCAAAGAATCTACACGACTTCATAGGTGCTCTTATAAGCCAAGCCTACGCAAAGGCGGAAACATACAAACACACAAAATAGTAAATGCATGCTGCAACTTAGTTGTAACTCAGCGAAATTCGCTTTGACTTCGCCTTCTGCTTTTTTGTTTTTGTATGCAAAGCTCGTATTCAACATTTTCTCTGCTGTGTCATACATGCTTAAACCCGACTCTGCATAGCTAATAAATTTTATGAGAATCCTTTTCAAGATAGAAACCGTTCGCAAAGCTTTTGTTGTTAGTAGGTATAGGGATTGAACTAGTAACACTCGCAATGATATCGGTCCTAATGAAATCCAACCGACGACAGAGCGTTCTATAGAAAGGTACAATTTATACCAGTGGAGAAAAACAGGAATAGCTTAGATCGCTTACATCACTGTTTTATAGTGGATGTGGATAAGTATTATATCCACATCTGCAATAAGGCAAATCGAAACTCTGGAAGCAGTTTTTATGGAATCCCATTATTTATGGTAATATGGGAATTACGGTCATATAAATAGCAATTTTTTTACAAATTAAGATATATTCAGTAATACTCTTTAACATCCTCTTATTATACTTGGCAATGAAATTTAAAAATAGTTATATTTAATAAAATGTTTCTTAAATTAGTAGGTACCTTTAATTTTTTCTTATTGAGAATGCAGGATGGTTGCTAGGATATAAAAACAACAAGTAAGGAAGCGCTAAGTTCATGCGTAACCAAACATTTTATACTCTTGCAAATTGCTGTGTTGGGAAAACTTTATTTTAATGTGGCGAGAGAAATCAACATTTATTATTCTACGAAATCGGGTTTAAATTACATTTAAATTTGTATCTTATTACTTTCATTCATTAAAGTACATACCATCACCAATCATATAAAGTAAAGTCAGCCGGATGTTCGAAAATCCTGATATTACTTATATAGGGGCTAGATAAAGTTTTCGTCGAATTTTCTCCATTTTACGCATAAAAATAAATTTGTATGAGTAAATAAAATACGCCTCTCATTTTCATTGAGATAATTTACATATAGGCCGATGTATTCTGTATAAAGTCACCGGGAAGTTCAAAAATCTTTATATTAGATATATGAGGGCTAAAGGAAGTATTGATCTGATTCAACCCATTTTTGGCACTAGGGCATACTATTATCAGGAAAGGATACTCCAGGAATTTCAGTAATATATCTCACACATTGACATTTTAAGTGAATTTAAGTATTACAGCTTTAGTGGTTTAGAAGATATGCACATTAAACCGATTAGTGTGCGGGGCCATGCCCACTTTTTCAAAATTTTTAAAACTGTAGATGCCGCTTCTAAATGCGATTCCTTATACCAATTAACAGCCTTATGTCTTACTTTGGAGTTATGGTAATTCATTGGTTTTCGATTAATGACGGGCACAAGTTATAGCGGGCACAGGTGGACGGAAAAATTATCTATTTATATATATATTAAGGTGGAGCAAAAAAAAATTTAAAAAAAAACGAAAATTTATGGCAAATAAAAATTTTTTTACATCTAGAGGCGGGCAGTCACTTTTATAATAAGGTTTCGAGTTAAAATTTCTATTTCTTACAAAAATTTTGATAAGGGTTCTAGAAGCTGTGGAGAGTCCTCTTTCTGGCCAATACAATATATTTAACAGCCTATTTCCTAATATTATTAATATTCAAGTATAGATAATAGTATATTACACTAAATATTGCGTAACAAAGTTATACATATAAAAGTTATAAATTATACCAAGTAAGATCAAACATGAGACATCTAATAGACAGCTAAAATTTACTATATCGATAAGTTATTTATCCAGGATTTTAGATTTTTGTTAAGATTTTTTATTACATGTTAGAATCTTCAAATTATTAGGAAGCATGTTAAAGTACTTAATTGCTTTATAATAAGCATTTTTAATGCTAATTGACTTTTTAATTTTTGGTAATGTTAGAGTATTAATTAGCTCTAGTTTGTACTTGTTTAGTAAGATTTGATTAACACTTTTCATAGTATTGTATTAGAGCCTTAAAAATAAAAGTTTTCTTGATGTCAAGTGGCAAATTAGTTTCATAACTGTTTTCAAAGAACTTTAATAAACGGTTTTGCATATTTGTTATAGGCTGCAGAGCATTTTTGTAGGCTCCACCTCAGGCAATTATTCCGTAATTGATTACACTTTCGAAAAGTCCATAGTATATAGTTTTTAAGATTTTTATGTCAAGCCATTTACTCAGTTCGAAAAAAACCCTATATTTAACTCGATTAGTGTTAGGTGATACAAGCAACCGTCAGGTGAACAAAATGTTGCAAGAGTATACAAATATTTGCCATAAGGAAACGTAGGATATCCTATTAATTATATACATATATAAATGGTCAGTGTGATGGCTGAGTCGATTTAGCCATGTTCGTCCATACGCGAACTAGGCACTCAGTTTTTGGGATATCGATTTGAAATTTTGCAAACGTCCTTTTCTTTCTTAAAAGTCGATTTTTTTGTTGGAAACACCGATATCGGACTACTATAGCATATAGCTGTCATACAAACTGAGCGATCAAATTCAATCCCTTGTATGGAAACCTTTTTAATTTGCAAGAGATCTTCACGAAATTTGGTACATATTTTTATCCAAGGCTTCGCTACATTTTTCGAAGAAATTGTTGAGATCGGACAACTATAGCATATATTTGCTATACAAACTGGTCGATCAAACTCAAATCCTTGGATGGAAAACTTTTTAATTTAACAAGGGATCTTCGCAATTTTGGCCCAAAGCATTGATACAATCTCCGAATAAATTGTTCGGATCGGACTACGATGCATATAGCTGCCACACTGACCGAACAAATTTAAAATAAAGATTTTTTACACCCTTTAATGTTATAAAAAACTCACCAGTGATGGGTATTATAGCTTCGGCTTATAGCCAATAGCCTATTAAATTTAATGCTTTAATTTTATTAGCTTTTGCTTCGAGGCAAACGCCATTTTTGAAATTATAAAAGAGAAAATTAAATGAATAAGCGACAAAAGCAATAGTGATAATAAAAGGCCAATAAAAATCTGAATGACACAACAAAAAAAAAGCAAGTAAAGAAGTTCTAAGTTCGGGTGTAACCGAACATTTTATACTCTCGCAACTTGCAAGGATCAAAGCCCGGGAAATTACTTCAGGCGTTGCCAAAATTTTATATAGAAAGAAGTATTGATCCCATTCAACCCCTTTTCGACACAAAAACATACTATTATCAAGAGTTTCATGTATTTATTTTATTATATGAATTTTAATTATATATCTTACACATTGACCGATATTTTCGTTAAAAAAGTCAACTGGGGTCCACATATTCAGTACTTAGGCATTATTGGCGCAAGGTTTTATCTCGATACATTAAGTTTTGCTTGATTTGCATAGTGGAAAGTGAAAGAATCAGATGGAATTTAAAATGGTGTTATTTAGGAAATAGGCGTGGCTGTAATCCAATTTTGCCCATTTTCGCATTATAACATAAAAATATGAGAAGAATATTATATACTGAATTTGGTTGAAATCGGTTTAGCAAATCCCAAGATATGGGATTTCACCTAAAAGTGGTCGGTGCCACGCCTACTGCCTAATTTTGAACGCGGTTCCTATAAAGTCATCTTCTACCATCCCTGAGATGCAATTTAATGTCTCTGGCATGGTTAGTGCTTGATTCATCGCGCTTTTAGTAGGTTTAGCAGTACCATTGTATGGGGAGTACCTATTTTCACCCTGTCAATAGAAGTGCTAAAAATATTTATTCTCAGTG